ATCGTCTCAGGGCGACATTTTGATCGACGATCAGGATATGCGGTACTTAAATCCGACGTGGCTTCGTCATCATATTGCGGGTGTGGTCCAAAACTCAGCGTCAGCTGGTGCACCCGTCTTTTGCGGAACGATTCATTTCAATGTTGCACTTGGCGCTGTGGGAAGCGGGAGACGTGTTGAAGACGTGACTCGGGAGGAGGTCGTTGAGGCCTGTAGGATGGCAATGTTGGAGGGGTGGGTTGCGGGTTTGGACCAGGGTTATGATACGCTTTTAGCAGGGACTGGAAATGAAGAGGGAGAAGAAGCTCATGGTGTCACATTGAGCGGTGGGATGAGACAGCGCCTTGCACTTGCCCGTGCAAGGATTCGCGATTCTGAAGTTCTGATCCTAGGCACGTACCCCCTCCCTCTTTCAATTGTTTGCTTACGCTGACGTTGACAACATGCAGACGAATCCACATCCGCTCTGGATCCACCCACGCGTCTTCTTACTACCGCCGCCCTCCGAGCGTGGCGCACTCGCTCCCAAAAAACGACCGTCATCATCACTCACGATTTGTCGAGTATCGGCGCTGAAGATTTCGTGTATGTCATGCGTGCTGGGCGTGTCGTCGAGCAGGGGTTCAGAGGTGATCTGGAGGGTTCAGGCGGAGAGTGGGAGAGGATGGTGAAGGAAATTGGTGCCCAACTCGAGGATGAAGAAGATGCTGCGCGTCCACCCGTGTATGAAGAGGTTGTTGGCATCCTTGCCGAAGCAGAGCAAGCTCAAGAACGGGAAAATCTGATGCCCGATAGACACATGAGTATCGCGCCTACGTTGGCTGGTGTACGTCCCGTGACGATGGCGCTTGGCGGGTGGATGCTGGATGTTGTGGCAGAGTTGACTAAAACAGCCGACGCGACTTCTACCCCTGCGACCAACTCGTCTACACGCACGGAAACACAGGGTCGCATGCGCAGACCTTCGAGTATGTCCATCCTCATTCCTTCCCCTACGTTCCCCCCACGCGCATACGACGCACGAAGTAGGTTGAGTCTCCAGTTCACGCCCACGTCACCTGCATTTCCTTCCTCAACATCCACGCAATTCATGATCGAAGATGATGACGAATTTGAGAAGGACAAGGTGGCTTTGCAGTGTGCTGCACAGCGAGCCGCTGGACGACGCGCCGAAAGGCAAGAGCGGAAAGCGCATGAAATTATCCAATTTTCACCCCCACCGTCCAAGAAATCCTCTCGCAGCCCTAAACCCGATGCCAAGGGAAAACCTAAGGTTACGCCTGTCGATTCTAGTGCTGAGTCCTACAGTTCTCCACCTGGCCTCTTTCAAACTATCCGTCTCATATGGCCTAGTATTCCGAGCAAGCCTCTGCTCTTCGCCGGCCTCCTCGCATGTCTCTTGAGTGGGGCAATGACGCCTATTTTCTCGTTTCTCCTCTCCCGCCTCATGTTTGAAGTCTCTGCCGATCCATCCAATGCAAATATTATTAACACTTACGGCGCACTTGTACTGGGCATCGCAGCGTTGGACGGGCTACTCCTCGGTTCTAAATACGTTCTCATGGAAAGATCGGCGATTCGATGGATCAGTGCTCTCCGCAACAGAGCTTACGCACGCGTTCTTTCGCAAGACAAATACTGGTTCGACGAACCCTCCCACTCGCCTTCTGCGCTCTCGCAAACTCTCATCAAAGATGCCGACGACGCACGCGCTCTCGTCTCTGTCGTACTGGGGCAGTGTCTTGTCGTACTGGCGATGATGGGGCTTGGATTGATATGGGCAATGGTGTGGGGATGGCAGTTGACACTTGTTGGTGTTGCCATTGGTCCAGTTTTCGTTTGCGTCATGGGCATTCAGACGGGGTTGGTGGCTAGATGCGAATTGCGGAATAAGAGGGCGAGAGAGCAGATTGCGAAGGTTTATTATGAGGTATGATGCTTCTCGCCCGATTCTATATTTCGTGTACTGACATTATCGCATCGCACAGTCGATCATCAACGTCCGCAGCATTCGCGCCATGTCTCTCGAACCTGTTCTACAAGCCCAATTCGACAAAGCCGCGTCGACATGTCTCACTACCGGTATCCGTGGGGCCTTTGTCGAAGGCTGCACGTACGGCGTAGCATCCGCGTTGATCTACCTCGCTGAAGCGCTCCTCTTCTACGTCGGCGCTGTCCTCATCGCTCGTGGAACGTACACATACTTGCAGATGGTCCAAGTTCTCAACTTGGTTGTCTTTACGGTCACCATCGGATCCCAGCTTATGGCGTTCACGCAGAGAATTGCCAAGTCTGTACTGGCCACGACGGATCTGCATGCACTTGCCCAGCTGCGATCTGACAAGACGAGCGAGGCACGCGGAATCCTAAGGCTCCAGAACCTCGGTGGCGATCTCGTCCTCAAAGACGTCGAATTCACATACCCTGATCAAGTGGACGAACCCGTACTGAAAGGATTGTCGATGACAGTCAGACGGGGTGAATGTGTTGCTTTGGTCGGTACGTCGGGGTGTGGCAAGTCGACGGTCGCAGCGCTTCTTCAGAGATTATACGAACCGACATCGGGATCGATTTCGCTTGGCAATGTCCAACTGTGCAATACGGACGTACACCATCTACGCGAACACGTGGCTGTGGTCAGTCAACAGCCCCACCTGTTCGACGCGAGCGTCAAGGAGAATATTGCGTATGGACGTGCGACGTCGATGACTGATGCAGAAGTCGAGCGCGCGGCTCGTGCTGCGAACATCCACGAATTCGTGATGAGCTTGCCTCAAGGGTACGACACTCCTGTGGGCGAAGACGGATCGCATCTTTCAGGTGGGCAAGCCCAGCGGATCCAGATCGCGCGTGCGTTGGCGCGGCCGTCCAAAGTCCTCGTCCTGGACGAATGTACGTCCGCTCTGGATGGGACGAATCAAGCTGCTGTACTCGAGGCCCTCAAGAGCGCGAAACAGGGCAGGACGACGGTCATGATTACCCATCAGGTGCCAGTTATGAAGATGTGCGATCGGATTGTGGTGTTGCAGGATGGTGTGGTCGTCGAGGAGGGTACCTGGGACGAACTCGTTAATCGCAGGGGACCGTTCGCGAAGTTGGCCAGTGGTGGGGAGTGGGCTGGGGAGTAAAGGCTCCCTTCCTTTCTCTTCTTCCATTTTAAAACTTTTCTTTTTCTTTTTCTTTTTTTCCCTTTTGGATGAAACTGCGGTTTATACCAATACTTTCGACCTTTCTGATTTACGCCCCCCCTTTTTTTTTCACCTACACATTCACATATGTGACAACTAACCACCTCATTGACATGACTACGCATTCTGTAGTACTAAGCACGCTCATTTGTATACCTAACTAACATGGATTACTCAGTAGGAGTTTTGGCAAATAGAAATGAATTGCACAATAACCTCGTGGCGTATGGCAGCCGTTCATTAATTTTCAAGAGCTCTGGCAACGGGCGCGACACAAAAGCGACATGCCCTCGAGAAATCTGCTAGGATTTTATGATCCAACCGTATCAACGTTCAGAACATATGGGGTACTATACAATGGTTACTGACGAAAAGTCTGAACGTATCCAAAACACGAAGACTCGAGTAAGGCTTTCCGCCCCCAAACACAGAACACTTTCCCGTCAATGCTTAGATACTCGCCTCATCTTTGCGGACCTGATCCCAGTTTGGTCCCACATCGAACATCCATGGCAGGTAGAGAAATGCATCCTTCCTGTACCTATGGTACCGCGACTTTAAGTCTTCGACGCAGGCTTTGCAGAACCTACGGTTCCAATCAGGATCCCATGCAACCAAGGGGTCGGTGGAAGGGGACGTTGCGGAACACCGTGAGCGGCATAGCAGACAGGTGGTATTCTCCAAGAGGTAGTAGTCGTCCGATTTCGGAAAGATCCTGTGACTTGAGCTTGTGAATGCACGTTTGGCGAGCTCTGGGCGCCTATCTCTCGCAATCATACACGCTCTTTGATTGACAGGAGACAGCGAGTAGTGGACTCCGTTCCACTCATACCCGTCTAGAAGCTTCTCAATTTCTGTCGAGAAGGCACAAGCGTAGAGTGCCATGGGAAGGACTGTGAGCAATCCAACTTCGCGAATTATATTGAGTAGCTGGAAATCCAGGGGGTCACGTTCGGTGATTAGGGTTCCTTCGAAGCGTACTGGGCCGGAATTCGGAAGCAATTCCGAAGGGTAGCATTCCTTCACTCTGCCAGACACACAGTCGAAGAGCAGTTTAATTTCGTACTTCTTGCCCAGGCGGAGCAGAGCGGTCGCAACGCTCATAGGCATTGACTGAGAGGAAGCAATGTACCTGGATCGACCTTAGATTATAGATTGACAGCAGAGAGGTGCAATCACGCACTCGCCATGAAATAGCGCTCTGAGGACATGTCGAACGTCACTGGCGGAATCCTGAAGGCGAACGACGGCGCATCCTTCAATCGTTTCCTCTTGATCGGCAGGTTGTGGACATTCAAACATGTCTTTGAAGATCGGTGAATGCACCGACAATGTTCCCCGGTAAACCTTGAAGGATTTCCCTCCTGCTATAAGGACGATGTTTCCATCGTCAAACCAGGGACCGAGATGCTCTTTTGAGTCCGTTGTTTCCTGAGCCATTCTGGAGAACTAGATGATGGCGCGGGGTCGAAGGCTGCTTGCTCGTCACCCCAGCGTCGCGAGTACTATACGTATGACGGAATTAGGGTTTTGGGTAGAGCCTCGTGTCCATTTCCCAAATGCGTCGCTGCATCAGTGATTTGGCGCTTGGCGGTAGGGAGATGTTAGCCATGGAACGAACGTACCAACTGTCGCCCTGAGCGAGTTAACAACACTTCAGTGCAAGCGGTTGCTTACATAACCCCGACGTCTGCAACCAAGACTTGGCGACAGAACGCACTGCAAACGCTCACTGCGTGAAATGGACATATATACGTAGCCTGCATGCCAAATTCCCTCGAGTACTTGAAGTAAAAAAGGTTGAAAAAAGATGGGCCTTGCTGGGAATCGAACCCAGGCCACTTGCAATTGAGAACACCCAAAGCAAGTATCGTACCTCTAGACTACAAGGCCTTGTTACGAGGGTGTTAATGCTATTATATGAGGGTCCTACCACTGGTCACCGGCTAGGGCTGACGCGGTATGCCTCCAGCCATAGCTTACGGTCGACTCGACATTTACTTTCTGTACGACCTGCGACATCGGACGCGGCTGACTCTCGCGTTGTACCGTCTGCTCGATATTTCTCCGCTTCCCTCCTCTCACAGGTCTTATCATCATCTTGGATTCGCTTGTTGCTTTGTTCCAATCTCTACTTGCTTGCGTCATCTTACGCTATATCGTCAGCGATGTACGGCACATTCCCGTTCGAGAACATCGAATTGTCGCCGTGTTTTTCACCTGCTATATGCTTCTTTAACGTCGATGAACGTCGTGCTGTTTCGGATTTCGATGAGGTACCTGCGCTGGATTTCGATGATGTACTGTTGTACCCAGACGACGACGAAATCAACGAGGAAACTAAAGAGAAGAGGGAGGAAGCGCAAAGGATTGGTCTTGGACTACTGTTTGATGAGGTCTCGCCGACGTATGCTTGCTCGCATGGAGGGAACGCGGAGAATATCAATATCTTCGGTGCGTTACCCAGGGAAGGCGTGGTCGAGGGAACGAACCTGCCTAGGCAGTGCGGGATAAATACACGCGGTGTTTGGTCGGCGAATCCACAAACCCCCTTGAAACGAGGTGGAAAGACCCAGGACGGCCTACAAACGCCATCACGCACGGTTAGTACTTGGTGGTATAGCCGGCCATATACTATGACGGGGATCAATTCGGATGGATCCATGCGCCCACCACGGGGAGGAGTTCCGCCCGAGCTTGCGAGAGAGATTACGAGGGACAATATGGTAGAAGTGGGGAGGGAGAGGGAGAGGGAGAGAAAGAGGAAGGGCGAGGACGGGCATGCGGCGAGGAAGAGGATGCGGTACTGATGGACATGTATTAGTCAGCAAGGGTGTCCGTGGGAAAGGTGTATTGCCGTGTCGTTCGCTCGCTTTGCTCTCTCTCAGCATTAGCACACTCGTCGCCTGATTGGCTGTCTGTCTCTGTCTCTCTCTTTTCATGGCGAGGCCGACGTCCGTCGCGATGAGTCTGCAGCAGCTCGAGGGTGTCGCCGACCTCTCCTCGCTGTCGCCTATCACAGACGACGCTGTCGTCGCTTGTCTCCGCGAACGCTTCATGGCGGACACCATCTACACCGCACTCGGCCCACCTGCGCTCGTCGTCCTCAACCCACACAAGTACGTCTCCTCGAACGCCGACTCCGTACTCCACAAGTATGCCGCAGAGTACCGCGACACTTCTCCGGGGAAGTCCCGTCTGCCCCCCCACATCTTCCAGCTCGCCAACAACGCTTACTACCACATGCGGCGCACCGCACAGGATCAGTCCATTCTTTTTAGGTGTGTCTCTCCCCCCTGCCTTTGCTGATCACTTGCTTATCCAAATCTAGCGGCGAAACTGCAAGCGGCAAGTCCGAAAACCGACGTCTCGCCATAAAAACCCTTCTCGAACTCTCCGTCTCAAATCCCGGAAAGAAAGGCGCAAAACTCGTACATCAAGTCCCAGCTGCCGAGTTCGTCATCGAATCCTTTGGAAACGCCCGTACCCTCTTCAATCCGAACGCTTCCCGCTTCGGGAAGTACACAGAGCTGCAGTTCACCGACAGAGGTCGCCTCTGTGGCATAAAGACCCTCGACTACTATCTGGAAAGAAACAGGGTCGCCTCCATTCCTTCGGGCGAACGTAACTTCCACATCTTCTACTACCTCGTTGCCGGCGCCTCTCTGGAGGAGAGGCAACACCTTCATCTCCAAGAAAAGGTACATTACCGGTATCTCGGTCAGCGCAGCGCAGGTGCTCGTCCCAACGCAGTTAGGGACGACGACGCACACCGTTTCGAACAACTCAAAGTCGCCCTCAAGACCATCGGTCTTTCCAAACGGCATGTCGCACAGACCTGCCAACTCATCGCCGCCATCCTCCATCTCGGCAATCTCGAATTTACAATCGACCGTGCTAGAGACGTCGACGCTGCCGTCGTCCGCAACGTAGATACCCTCGCCCTCGTAGCAGAGTTTCTCGGCGTGCAACCCTCGGCACTTGAGAACGCCTTATCATACAAGACCAAGCTGGTCAAGAAGGAACTCTGCACCGTCTTCCTCGACCCCGACGGAGCATCTGATAACAGGGACGACCTCGCCAAAACCCTTTATTCCCTGCTTTTCGCATGGCTCAACGAGCATGTCAACCAACGTCTCTGCAGAGACGACTTCGATACTTTTATCGGTTTATTCGATCTCCCCGGTCCACAGAACATGACGGGCAGATCCAACTCGCTGGACCAATTCTGCATCAACTTCGCCAACGAACGACTCCACCATTTCATTCAACAACGGCTGTTTGAGTCCCACGTCGACGAATACCAATCAGAAGGCATATCTAAATATGTCCCCCCCATTTCTTACTTCGACAACTCCGAATGCGTCCGACTCTTCCAGAACAAGCCCGGTGGCCTTATTCACATCATGGACGATCAAGCTCGCCGATCCCACAAGAAGACGGATCATACCATGGTCGACGCCTTCGCCAAGCGATGGGGCAACCATTCCTCCTTTAAACTAGGAAGTGGCTTGGATAGGTCTGGTTTCCCTACGTTCACCGTTTGCCATTTCAATGGCCCGGTGACATACTCCTCAGAGGCGTTTTTAGAGCGCAACCTCGATGCTCTTAACCCCGATTTTGTGGCTCTTCTTCGCGGCACGGCGGCCGGCGCTGGCCTCGGGGATGGTGCTGAAGGCGCGGGGTCCATCAATCCCTTCGTCAAAGGTCTCTTCTCGGGGAAAGCCATTGCCACGCAGGCCCATCCTAAGAGCGAGGACATGATTGTTGCGGCCCAACAACCCGTCAAACCCATGCGTGCTCCTTCCACCCGACGCAAAAATACTGTTCGTCGTATGCCCCGTGACAATGCTGCCACTGGCACGACTCCTCCCATCGTCGAAGAAGAACGTGAGGACGAGGACGTCACTACTTCCCAGAACACAGGTACTCCGTGCGTCGCAGGTGAGTTCCGCGCCGCCCTCGACACACTCTTCGAGACGTTGGGGGACACACACAATTGGTTTGTGTTCTGTATCAACCCGAACGACTCCCAACTTCCGAATCAGCTCGAGGGACGGTCGGTCAAAGGGCAGGTACGCAGCTCAGGGTTGGTCGAGGTTGCGAAGAGGAATGCATGTGTGTTTGAGGTCGGTATGGCTCCGGACGAGTTTTGTCAGAGGTATAGGGATCCGATGGGCAAGGTACTTCTTGGTGACGGAAATGAGACGCCAGCAGAACGCATTGAGAGGATGCGGGTGGCTTTGGGTCTTGGAGAGACTGATGTGGTTTTAGGACAACACAAGGTGAGAGTCTCCCACTTGGGTGTCAGAGGCAAGCTCAATATACACGCTCGCAGGTCTTCCTTTCACAAGCCGCTTTCCACGCGCTTGAAGACTATCTACGCGCAGCCGACGTCGAAGAACAGAAGCGCAACCGGATGCGCGAAGCAGAAGTAGAGGCTGGTCTCGATGCCCGATCTGGCGGCGATCCCTATGCCCCATACCTGACCCCGTCCGCGGTCGGAGCCGATGAATCTGCCTACGCGAATGCGTACGGTGATCAGGCTCCACTCGTTGGTCGAGGCTCGTCTTTCCATCGGGAATACGACGAAGAGTACGACGAAGCCAAGACGGTACAAAGCGACGAGTTCGATGGGAGGAGTCGACTGACAAGTGATCGCGACGATTCAAATTCGAATTATGGCACCGAGTCGTACGCGCCCTCTCGCAACATGTTCCACAATGCGGACAAGGAGGGATTGATGCCGAAGGAGACGCTGCCGGGGGAAATCTTAGAGGGCGAAACCACCGAAATCGTCAAGGAGTCGTCTGCGCGGAGACGATGGGTAATGCTTTGCTGGATGTTAACCTGGTGGATTCCTTCTCCGTTCTTGAAGTGGTTCGGACGCATGAAACGCGAGGACGTGCGGCAAGCGTGGAGAGAAAAGTTGGCCTTGAACATGGTCATCTGGCTAATATGTGCCTGTGCCGTATTTGTCATTGCCGTGCTGGGGTTGGTCATCTGTCCTACGCAGCATGTGTTCAGCACGTCGGAACTGGCGTCGCATTCGTATCAAAACAATCCAAATAACGTCTATACGTCAATTCGGGGAGAGGTCTTTGACTTGACCGCCGTGGCGGCGACGCATCAGCGTGTCGTCAGCGTGGTGTCGACGAAGTCTGTCCTCCAGTATGGTGGCATGGCTTCAGATGCAATTTTCCCTGTGCAGGTATGTGAGGTCATGTATCATAGTGTGATCCCCTCTGACATAAAGACATAGGTGAGCGCGCTATGTAACGGCGTCTCAGGTTCTGTGAGCCCCTGGGTGACGCTCGACTCCGCCAACAACACCGATCCCAATGCTCAGTACCACGACTTCCGTGCTTTTACCAATGACTCTCGCCCGGACTGGTATTTCGAGAGCATGACGATCATGCGGTGGAATAATCGCGTTGGGTACGTCGGGTACACGCCTTCAGAGATTAAGGATATGGCCAATAGCGGATCGTCGGTCGGCATCCTCGATGGGTTGATCTATGATTTAACCACGTATCTCAATTATCCGCCTGCTGTCGTTACGCCTACCGGTACGCAAGCGGGCGGAAGCGTCGACACACAATTCATGAGTTCCACCATCGTCGATCTGTTCAAGATCAACTCCGGGCAGGATTTTACGAAGCAGTTTAACGATGGTCTTGGACTTGATTCTGCAACGCTCGAAAGCCAGAAGACGTGTCTTCGCAATCTATTCTTGATCGGTGCGGTCGACAATCGAAATTCGCCTCAGTGTCTGTTCTCGCAATATATCTTGCTCGTCCTTTCGGTTCTCATGGTCTCCATCATCGGGTTCAAATTCATCGCGTCGATCAATTTCGGGGCTGTTCGTGCACCCGAGGACCATGACAAGTTCG